TTTTTTTTTTTTTTTCCTCTCTCTCTGGCAAATGCATTCATCTTAAAGCAAAAACCTCTAAAAAAAGTAAATGAAAATAAGAACGGTTTGCTGCAGGCCTGGTGTGATGAGTAAGGTTAAGCTGCACAGGGATGCCAGGGATACCCTCATGAGAGGGAAGGGTAGACAGAGGAGTGGCAGACTCATTGAGAGATAATCTAACCTCTTACAAAGGAGATTGAGTGAGGTTGTCACATTGCTCTGGAAATTCTGGGGCTGGCACCGTCCTTCCTTGCAGAGTGCTATCCATGACCAGGAGACAGACATACATACCAGGGAGCGGTCCCTGAAGGCTCTGGGGACTGCAGAGATTCTGAAGGAGAACAGAAGAAGAGGTTTTCTTTCTTTCTCTTTTGCTATAGGGCGCATGAGCTTGTCAGAGAGAGGAAAGTGAGAAATCACTCCCTAGGGGGATGACTGCACTGTAATTTCTTATCCTGCAGTCTCTTGGATTTTGGGCATGCATGCACACACACCCGGTGTGTTTTTCAAGTCACTGGGTCTGGGACTGGAACCATAGAACAGGCCATGTGGGATCCAGCACCTTAACCACCATACCACCTGTTGACCTGAGGCTTAGGTATCTGGAAGAAACCTTAGAGCTCATTTAGCTGAGCCCTGTCATTTCACAGATAAGGGAACAGATGGAACTGACTTGCTCCAGACCACACTGAGTCAGGGGCAGGGCTGGGTCCCTTAAACAGCATTGATTGCTATAGCACATGCCCCCTGGCCAAAACCTTTAAAAACAAACAAAAAACCTTAGGTCTCCCTGCAGACAATTCCTCACACTGCCTTATCTTAGTTCCTTATTGTGGGAAACGAATACCAAGCACTGCCCGGCCTGGAATGAAGTGCTGACCGAGCTGGTCTATACCACCAGGACCTCCAGGTGCTGTCTGTGCTGAAGGCTTGCTTTCATCAGAAAGAACCAGAGCCTGGTAGGAAGCAAATGGGTCTGCTGCTAGTAAGATCTCAAACCCAGTGGAGATGTAAAATGAAAAGGGCCCAGAGGATCCTAAAATAAAGGAGACACGAGCCTTTGGGGGTGTTTATTGAAATGGTTATAATTAAAGTGATATTTTACGAGTGTTTAAAACAGAAGGCGGGTGGGCTCAGAGCCAGGCCCCAGCTCCAGAGGCCCACTCCTGGAGGGGAAATGGCACTTGTAGGGAGCAGGAACTCAATCACTGCTGCTCATTAAGCACAGTCATGGTGGATTCGTTTTGGGAAGGCTGGGAGGGATAGGGAGTGGAGAGAGCCATGAAGCAATGCCTTTAAATTCCGAATCTTGCTCTGTTCACACTAGGCATGTCGTCTTCCTGCAGCGGGCCTCATGGACCCCTCAATGACTGACACAGGTCTGCCCTCTGGCCCAGGCTTCCGCCTAGCTCCAGTGCCCGGGTCATCATTATCATTCATCACAGACTTCCTTTAGTCTGCCAGAGATTTTCCCAACTCATAGCTTAAAAACACCAGCAGGAGGAAAAACAAAGAATGTTCTTGTTCATATAAATCCACGGCAAGAATAATTTGAGAACTACATGTTTCCCAGGGTTGGCAGATGTACGACGATTCCAGTATTCTTTATCCATAGGCTGCTCGCATGGGGAGTGCTGCTGAAGGTGCCAAGGTCTGAACTTTTCGGACTTGCTCATGTTTTTGAGAACCTATGGGAATAGTCACTGGGCAGAATCGGAGCCTAGCAGAGCACTGGCAGCGAGCAAGCATGGAGAAGGAAACTAGTAAGGTCCTGAGGTCATTCCCAGGAGGAAGGGAGCACTACTTCCCGCACCAGCAGCACGAGGGGCTGTGCTGAGGCTCCACTCACGGTGGTGCAGAGTGCCTGTGCTGGAGGAGGCGGCCCCCCCTTGCAGTTCTGGGCTACTGTTTGGGCAGAGCAAAGTCCCAGGCAGTTTCCTGTGCGCACTTCCACATGGCCTGCATGAGGCGAGTGAAGCCCATGTCTTTGGGCTTCTCCAGGCCTCTCATCAGCCGTTGCTTCATGATGGAAACAAATTCCTTATTGCTCAGCTCCCCATTGCCTAGAGGAGGGAGAGACAAACACAACAGCGATAAGTGGAGGCATTCGAACAAAACCACCGAGAAAATTCCATCATCCACACAAAGTGGGTTCCAAAGTCCAAATGCTCTCACAGCCAAACTCAATTCCCTTGGCTTGAAATTAACTAGTTAACACCTTCCTTGATGTTTCCGACTGCAACTCAGTGACAAGAGTAGAATGAGAATACCGTGTATGCCAGGTCCTATGCCACGTGTTGAGAATAAAGAGAAATACCGTCTCTTGCAAACTGCTATTGATTTACCTCCCTTTTCTCTAAGACCAGAGTGGACTGCTCTATGATTCTGTGTGACTTGTGTGCATATGATTCTGTGTGACTTGTGTGCATGTGTGATCTGTGAGTTCAACTCTAAACTCTCCTCAGTCCAGCATCTTTTGCTATAGGAGGCATGTACTCATCAGCAAGAGATAGATAGATAGAGAAAGAGAAAAAAAAAATCATCTCTCAGGGAGATGGCCATGCCACAGTCTTTTCTTCTCTATTATCTTAGGATTCTGGGCACACACATGTGCCTGGTGTGTTTCTTAAGTCATTGGGTCCAACACTTGAGCTGTATGGTTGGCCATGGGGGATCCAGCCACATTAACCACGATGCCACCAGCCAGCCCTGTTTTTTTTTTTTTTTTCATTAGATGGGGTCTTGCTATGTTGCCAAGGCTGGCCTTGAACTCATGATCCTCCTGCCCTAGTCTTCAAAGTAGCTGGGATTATAAGCCTGAGTCATTGAGCCTGGGTCAACTCTCAATTCTATGACAAGTCTGTTTGAAAATAAAAATTCTCTGTGTTCTGGCATTTTGACCTAAGATCTTTCACTAGTAGCATTAATGATGGCTTTATTATTTATATAGTTTCTTTTGTTCTTTTCTAGATTAACAGGCTTCAGAGATATTAAATGATTTTCCAAAGGTGATTCAAGTAGATATTGACACAACCACCTTCTAACAGGCTAGGAAGTCAAACGTGATTCCCCAGGACTTTCTTGAAAAGAGGGGAAGAGACCAGTTGCCTTTATTTTCATATTCACTTCACAGACCAGTTCCGGTATATTGGCTTTAGAAACTAGAAAAATAAATATTTTTTTGGTAAGAAATGCAAACCATGTAGAAGTAGTTAGGGTAAAAACAAAAATCTAGAAGAAGTTAATATTCATTAGAACTCCAAGTACCTGCCATTTTTGTGACCCTACCCCTTCACCCCTCCCATTTAAATATATCATGTCTCCTTGGTAGAGTGAGCTGAGGCACCTCTGGCTTCAGACTCAACAGAGATCTTTTTCTTAATTTTCCTTTTTTTCTTGGGGGAAGAAAAAAAACTCTCTGCTCTATGAGAAATATTTATATCTATGCTATTCATTTATGTAACTGTAGAGCACTTGACATATGGCTAGAGAGACCTGAATTTTGTTTTGTTTTTTGAGAGATTTTTGCTACTCACCGGAGAGACAGAGAGAGGCAGAGAGACAGAAAGCGAGAAATCACGCCCCCAGGGGGAGGACACGCCATAATCCCTTCTCCTCCATTCTCCTCTCAGGATTTTGGGCACACATGCACATGTGCCCAGTGTTAAGTTTTAAGCTGCTGGGCCCAGGCCTCGAATCATGGATGACTACGTGGGAGTCCAGTGATATAACCATTATACCATCTGCTGGTCCTAAGACCTGAGCTTTAAGTCTTAATTTTAATAGAAACTGAAGGAGCCACATATGACTAGTGGTATTGCACTGTGGACAAGGTAGCTCTAGAGAATAACCTACTCCCAGCTGAGAAGAAGGTCATCTTTGTAATCAGCCCTGGGGCTTCCTTGAGTCAGACCTTGATTTGTGAATGCAGGCAGGAGATTTCAATAACTTAAGTTAATGAACATCTGTTATGTACAAAGTACTATCTGTGCTCCTAAGAAGGGTCCAAAGGTGAAAGGACTGTAACTGTCTTTAAAAAGCTGACTCCTTAATAGAAAAGTTAAGTCACAGACACAGAGATAGAATATAATATGTATTAAGCCAGAAAAATGGGACCAAGTGAAGGAACAAAAATGCCAGAGTGATTCATTACGCTGGGACCAAAGGGAAGATTCCGCATAAGCTGGAGCCTTGGGCCAGGTTCCTTAGTTCCATTAGCCTAGCTTCCTGGAGGAAGATGAACAATGAACCCGGGCTGTGAGAGAGGCAGTGGAGGAAACAGTACAGGGAGAGGCAGCACAGCCTTGGTGCAAATCCAGGTGTGCTATATCTACTTTTATTTTTTTTTTGAGAGGTTTTTGCTATAGGGCACGTGTGCTCACTGGAAAGACAGAGAGACAGAAAGTGAGAAATCACCCCCCAAGGGGGATGGCCACACTGCAATCCCTTCTCCTCCATTCTCCTCTCGGGATCTTGGGCACACATGCACACGGGTCTGGTATGAGTTTAAACCACTGGGTCCGAGACTCAAACCACGGTCGACTACATGGGAGTCCAGCAACATAGCCATTATGCCAACTGCTACTCCCCGAGGTGTGCTATCTACTATTACCTTTGTGACCCTGGGAAATTTACTTAGCCTCTCTAAGTCTCTGCTTCATCATCTATAAAATGTGGTTTACATTTAAAAAATAATAATTATTTAACTTTATTTATTTATTTATTTGAATCTGACCCAAGAAGGTCAGAATGAGAGTAAAAAAGAGAGGGAGAGGAAAATTGAGAAAGCAAGCTACCAGGTCCGGTACTTGAACCATAGTCAGCCATATGAGAGTCCAGGGGCCTCAACCACCACGCCACCTGCCAGGTCCCAAATGTGGTTTACATTTTTGAAGTATACGTTTTTCACGATTTACATTTTCCATGAACTTGTTAAAGGCCCTTAGTACCTATGTCAGAGGATTAAAGGAGCAGATTAGCTTATTCACTTAAAGTAAACACTGAAAAAAATGGGGGCTTCCCATGTTGTCACTGTCATTATATCAGACAACATAGTTAAAAAATAATGCCAAAGCGGGCCGGGATCTCAAATAGGCTACACTACAGAGATGCCATAGCATGGAGCTGAAAGGCTGAGAGGATGGAATGGGAATGATGAAAAGTGCCCGGGAGGTAGAGAGATCAGTATCATCTTTCTAGAGACATTTAAATGCTTGAGTGCTCCTTGGGAACCAGCAGTTAGCGTAATGGCTATGTCGCTGGACTCCCACGTAGTCGACCGCAGTTCGCGTCCCGGACCCGGTGGCTTAAAACTCACGCTGGG